TGTCCGGGTGTCCGGGTGTTGGGGTGTCCCGGTGTTCCGGGCGTCCGGGCGTCCGGCGTCCGGGGTGTCCGGTGCCCGGGTGTCAGGGTGTCCAGGCGTCCGGGCGTCCGGACGTCCGGGTGTCCGGGCGTCCGGGTGCCCGGGTGCCCGGGTGCCCGGGCGTCCGGGAGTCCGGGTGTCCGGGTGTCCGGGTGCCCTGGTGTCCGGGTGTCCGGGTGCCCGGGTGCCCGGGTGTCCGGGCGTGCGGGTGCCCGGGTGTCCGGGTGTCCGGGTGTCCGGGTGTCCGGGTGTCCGGGTGTCCGGGTGTCCGGGTGTCCGGGTGTCCGGGCCGGCGCCCGGGTGTCCGGGTGCCCGGGCGGACGCCCGGGCGGAGGAATAGTCAGATTGTGCACTCGAATGCACGCCCGACTTCTGCTCGCCGTCTGGGCGTGGCGGCGGGGCCCCGGCGGCGGACCGCCTTGCCCTCCATAGGGCTGACGGCCGCGACGGGGCCGCCGGCGAGGGGCCCAACCTTGGGCGCGGCGGATTCTCCGCGCGAGAATATGGCCCTCAAAGGGGAGCCCAACTTCCTCCTCCTCCTCCTCCTCCTCCTCCTCCTCCTCCTCCTCCTCATCATCATCATCATCATCATCATCATCATCATCATCATCATCATCATCATCATCATCATCATCATCATCATCATCACCATCATCCTCCGCTTCCTCCCCCCACTCCTAGCCCTTTCGATCAGGGTCGGCGGCACCGGCCGTCAGGCGTCTCCAATATGGCCCTCAAAGGGGGGCCCAACTCGGGCGAGGCAGATTCACGAATAGAACAAAAAACAGGCGGAGGCGGGGGGCCGAGGCGCGCGCGCGCGCGCGGGGCGCGTGCTTTCACGTGTCCACGGCCCCCAGGAGGGCCCAACCTGGGAGCGCCGGATCTTTTTTTCGTTCTACGCGTGAAAATGCGCGCGCGGAGGGGTGGGGCCCAGACGTGCGCCGGGCGCGCGCGCGCGGGGCACGCGTTCCCACGTGTCCACGGCCCCCATCTTGGGCGCGTCGGATTCGCCGCGCGTGAAAATACATTCGGAGAAGGGGGGGGAACCCAACGTGCGCCTAACGCGCGCGCGGGGCAATTGCTTTCGCGTGCCCAGGGCCCCCAAAGGGGCACTCGACTTGGGCGCTTCAGATTCTCGCTGCGTGGAAAGACGCGCGCGGATGGGGGGGAGCAGCGCGCGCCTGGCGCGTGCGCGCGGGGCACGCGTTGTCACGTGCCCACGGCTCCCAAGGGGTGCCCCAGCTTGGGCGCGTCAGTTTCTTCACGCGCGGAGGGGGGCGGGGGGGGCAACGCGCGCCTGGAAATAGCTGCGCGGGGGGCACACGTTGCGCCGAACCCACGACCCCCGAGGGGGGGCGCAACTTGGGCGCGTCGGATTCTTTACGCTTCACACAACGTGCGCGGAGAGGAGAGGGCCCAACATGGGGCTGGCGCGCGCGCGGGGGGCACGCGTTCCCGCGTGTCCACTGCCCCCGAGAGGGGCCCAACTTAGGCGCGTCGGATTCTCCGCGCGTGGAAATGCGTGCGCGTGGGGGGGGGTCAACATGCGGCCGGCGCGTGCGCGCGGGGCACGCGTTCTCCCGTCTCCACGGTCCCCAAGGGGAGCCCAACTTGGCCGGCGTCGGCTTCTCGACGCGCGACAATACGAGCGTGGAGGGGGGGCCCAACATGCGCCCGGCGCGCGCGCGCGCGGGGCAAGTGGTTTCACGTGTCACCGCCCCCCAAGGAGGGGCCCAACTTGGGCACGTCGGATTTTCCGCGCACGACAATGCGTGCGCGGAGGGGGGGGGGGACCATGCGCCTGGCGCGTGTGCGCGGAGCGCGTGTTTTCACGCGCCCACGGCCCCCGAAGGGGGGATCCAACTTGGGCGCCTCGGATTCTCCACAAGTAAAAAGAGGTGTTCGGAGGGGGGGGGGCCTTCGCGTGCCCACGGCCCCCAGCGCCCGGCGCGCTCGCGCGGGGCACGCGTTCTCACGCGCCCACGGCCCCCCGAGGACGGGGCCCAGCTGGGGCGCGTCGGATCCCCTGCGCGTGGCAATGCGTGCGCGGAGGGGGGGCGACCGACGTGCGCCTGGTGCGCGAGTGCTCGGTGCACGAGCTCTCACGCGCCCGCAGCCCCCATGGGAGGGCCCAACTTGGGCGCGCCGGATTCCCTGCACGTGACAATGCTTGCGCGAAGGGTGGGAGAGGGCAACATGCGCCCGGCGCGTGCGCGCGGAGCACGAGTTTTCATGCGTCCACGGCTCCAAGGTGGGGACCCAGCTTGGGCGCGCCAGATTCCCTGCGCGTGAAAATGCGTCCGCGGAGGGGGGGGGGCCCAACATGCGCCTGGCGCGCGAGTTCTCACGCGCCCACGGCCCCTAGGGGGGGACCCCACTTGGGCGCGAGGAGCGACCTAACAGGTGACAGGCGCCGCCGTGCAGGAGGGAGATGGCGATGAGGGGAATCAGGGTGGAGGCA